ATATTCTCATAGCACATCTCGAGAGCTTTCCAAAACACTATAATTAAGTTCATTTTCGTCAAGTACTTTTTGAGTTATAAGACTTGAAGGTTACAGTATCTCCGACATTAACATTATTCAAGGTGTCCGACCGGCGGCTAATGTTTTGAATGTTGTTCAGGATTATCATTTGGGTAACATTTGTCAAGATCAAGATCATTGGTGATTATTCCTCTTATTTTCATTTTTGCACTAAAAATTCATTTTTACGTAAAAATGAATTTTTAGTGCAAAAATGAAAATAAGAGGAATAATCACCAATGATCTTGATCTTGACAAATGTTATCCAGTACATGATCCTGAACAACATTCCAGACGTTTTAGTCGTCGGTTGGACAGCTTGCGTAATGCTAATGCCGAAGGTACTGTAACCTTTCAGCGATTCGTAAGGGTTAAATAGAGGTCAAATTAACCTAGGCGATATTATTACAGATAATCGAGAGTATTAGCGTTGTCTTGAAAGATAATCCACAAGCATTTTATTCAGGTTGCACTGTTGTGCAGCCGGAGTGCGTTATACAAATACTTGTTCTTAATAAAATTTTAATTAAGAATGAACTTATCGCCCGTTAGTATTAATAAATTACAGATTACATGAAAATTCAACTTTCAGAAATAGTGTAAAATATTATAATAATGAAGATGCAAACATTTTGTACAGAATATATGTTAAAAATTCTGCCATAGATGTGAACTAACAGTCTATGGTTTAGATTATATTGTACATGCTGCATTACATGAAAAAATAAATTTTCATTAAGAGTATATTCCTTTTTTAAACCTCTCCTTCTTTTCAATACAAGAGATAAAAACCAAGATTCATCGAAATCGATCGAGCACAGTCTCGAAAAATCGTTTGCTATGACCGTACCAACGTTTGTGGATCTGCAAGGATTTATCGTTGGAAAGAAATTTATCGTGAAGGAAGTAGCAGTGTTGAGAAAAGGAGCCATTCTCTCTCATTACATTTTTACATGTCCCATGCCATGGATTTTCTTGACAAAATCAGGAAAGTATTGCGCTTCCTGGCTGAGTGCTTATCACCATGGATTGCAATGGGAGGCCGGGACGATCCCGTACAGCATGGTGAAACGACTAATTACGATGGCTGTAATTGGTGTGGAAGAATGTGACGACAATAAGGCTCTCGTATATGTTAAAGGACGTGAAAAACGCGAATGGCTGGCTGATATACTTACTCGATAGCGACAACTTGATCATTGAGATCTTGGATGCTGATTACAAAGATATAGATTCTTTACATAATCTAGATGTTACCAATACTATGCGATGTGGAAAACATATTAAGAATTGTGCGTTACAAAATGTATTTAAAATACATAACTGGTGGTCACAACGCCAAAAAAAAATGTATCAAGATTAAAAAATAAAATATGAGATTTTTTTTTAAATACTTTTCTAAAATTTCTTTTCCCTTCCCTTCCTTTGTAATGTATGAACGTATGTATAGACGTATGAATGTATAAACGTATGTATAAACGTATGTACATATAAACGTATGTATAAACGTGTGTATAAACGTGTGTATGAACGTATGTATGTATGCATATATGTATAAACGTAAACGTATGTACAAACGTATGTATAAATGTATGTAGATATAAACGTATAATGCACGTATAAACGTATGTACGTATACACGTAAGTATAAACGTATGTACGTATACTCGTATGTATAAACGTATGTACAAACGTATGTACAACGTATGTATAAACGTAAGTATAAATGTATGTATAAACTTATGACAAAGAAAATACGTAGAATGACATGATAAAACGTGTTGCAATACGTTCGAAATTCTTGGAAAGAGGGGCACAGCCTGCCCCTTCTTCGATTTTGGAAGTATTATACGTCAAAATTTGACGTATCAAATTGACATATACGTCAAAATTTACGAGGACGCGATCAGTTTTGCGCTTGTACGTATGATTGAAAATGTACTTCGCCAAAGAGAGCAGCGCATTGAACGACATGAAGAAGGAATATAACGTGTAAGTTTCAACGTTTTATACAATAAATAACGTTTTATACAATAAATAACGTTTTATACAATAAATAACGTTTTATACAATAAATAACGTTTTATACAATAAATAACGTTTTATACAATAAATAACGTTTTCAACATTATGTATATACACAGCATGGAGCGTCGCGCGGTGCACTTACTGAGCAGACGTTACGACCTGACGAGTACGGGCTACAAGTATTTGGAAATTGGAATCAACGTTAGTCCACAGAGTTACGTGGAGATCGCCCTGGGAGATCATCGCAGACACGAACTGTCGCTGTCTCTCGAAACGTGGAAGGGTCTCTACGAGCAGCGATGGAATATTTACAAGATGCTGCGAAACGAATACAAGGACAATTTTATAAGCGTTGGACCGCTAACCGTCAGAGTTTGCACGCTGCAGAACGATGCTACGCTCGTACGTCTCGATTCTTCATCCGTACGCATGATGATGACCGAAACGACGCTACACCGTATGTTCGAGTTTGGTGGTTGTATCGATGTAACGTTCGAACGATTAGTCCGACTCGTCGATACGGTCGATGCCAAATATACGCGATTCTCCAATATCGGGTCCAAGAACGCTATACGTGATAATGACGTCTTCAATGGACATCAGCTCGTCGATTGTGAACTATTAGCTCTAGTTTCTTAAATACGTACGAAAAATCGGTGTGATAAGTTGTGAATAAAAATTAATTCGTTCGCATCACTAAATATGTATATGTACTTTATTTTACTACCCATCCGTCATATCCTTGCCCTATAGTAAAAGAAAAAGAAAAGAACACAGCGTATTGTGAAAACTAAGTTATAAAAAGACAAAAGGAAAAAGAGGTCGTACTTTTACGAACGGGTGGCGTCGGCCCACGGCAGCAGCGACGGCAGCGGCCCGCAATGCATTTTTGGGATGGTCGCGGGGTCGCGGCAGCGACTGGGAGACCTTCTCTGCGCTTTAGCCACATAGAGTTAGAACTCGCCTACTATACCTACTCTCAGTAATTACGAAACTTGGTTGTATTTAGCTATTTAAAATAATTAATAAATATTGTTTCTATAGAAAAATTACAATACGCTATATCTTGGTCGAAAAACGGTTGGAGCATATACCCTTTGTAACACTTTTCGTTGTATAACTATTTGTTTTTGTATTGTTTTTTGTTCATGGCAATATTTTCTTTTTTTGTGATGTTTTTTGTTGTCTAGTACGTAACTGCAGTCCCCAAAATCTTACTGCCATTCCGCATGACGTCATACCCCCACCACCGAAGAATCCCCGCGCTACGCTTACCCTCGCCAACGAGTATCCCCCGCACCCCGCGCTCCCCTCTAGCCCCATGGCTTAGAATCGGCCCTATATAGCTACTTATTTCAGTATGTCGAATTCTAAGAGTGTTTCTTAGTAGTGTAGTTAGGGATCCCTTTTTAATGAATCAGATTAATCGCAAATCGCAAGTAAAAAAATCAAGAGAATGTGATCAATCGAGATACCCGATTAATTTACATCTTTGAAATGTCATGCTGATGCAGGTTGGCTATATAAAGGTGGTTTTTGGGGGTATAAGATGAAGTGACAAAATCGAGCAGTATATTAGCAATTAAAACATTACAAAAATAAGTAGTATGTTTTTACTTTTCAACTTTTTTTTAACAGCTGTGTTAATTTTAACCTTAAATTAGCACTGTCGCTATTTTCTTCAAATCAGTTGCAACAACAAAGTCGGAAATTGAGCAATAAATTAGCAATAATAAAACCCTAAAAAATTTCTGTGTTTTATTCAATTGTACTAAAAGTAACTGTGTCAGCTTAATAGACGTCGAGTGACCATCCCAAACAGCACACTATATATTTACAAAATATTTATAAATATTTATAAAACTTATTTTATGTATTTTGTAAATATAAAGATTATGTATTTCGCGGATTTTCTTCGTGTCCAGATGGGCATTCCAAGAATGGATCTGGATACGGAGAAAACCCGTGAAATACATCATCTTTATATAGAAAGCATCCGTGGAAGCCTCAAGAGTATATTTTGTAAATGTTTTTGTGGTCTTAGATTGCACAAATCATAAATATTTATTATCAATATTATGAAATATTTATTGTAAACGTTGTAGTAAATGCTATAAAAACAGTATCAGGCTTATAAGTATCAGGCTGCTCCTCGCCCTGATGAAGTGGACTGCAAGGTTCACGAAACGTTGGCATTCCAAGAATGGATTTGAACACGGAGAAAACCCGCGAAACACAAGATTGTCATATAGGAAACACCCGTGAAAGCCTCAAGAATATTGCTATAAAAACACTTAATAAGATATTATAATCCAAATAAAAATACTATTGTATAAATATTTATTTATATTTATCATAAATTTACGTAAAATATTTATATAACATTTCAAAAAATAAAGATAATAATAAATATTTATCATAAATATTCTGTGCAGACTAGGATTTAACTCACCATTCCAGAATGTGGAGTACTGTCATCACTATCTTCGCTGGTCGTAGTATTATTATTTGTCTCCGGGATATTGTTTGCTTGCATAGTAGTCGGACTGCCTCCGGTAGGACTTCTATATTGCATTTGTTGCTGTTGTTGCAATTGCTGCTGCTGCTGTTGTTGTTGCTGAGAATGCATATACTGCATATGTTGCATTTGAACCTGTTGTTGCTGTTGTTGCAACATCAATAATTGTTGGCCGCTATGTTGTTGATGACGTGGAGAGCTCATTGTTGCATACGAACTTTGTGAGTTACCATAGGCAGAACTATAAGCAAATGAAAAAAGAAATTCGTTTATAAAAAATAAATTTTTTTCGAAGTGAGCAATTAATTGCAGCATCAAAAGATAGAATATGTTTATAAATAATTAAAAACGCTATTCATGGTAAAAATGTTTATGATTACATTTATTTAATCGCAATAGAATATTTCAATATTTATGCGGTAATTATATAGTTTCGGATCCCCAATTCTAATGACCTTTACATATGCTGTCAAGGTCAAAATTCTGAACAACTTTGCCTTAACAACTAAGTGGCGGTCTCTTATAATTTCCGAGATATTTAAAGTTATAATATTTAAATTGTAATTTTGATAGAAAATTTTTATAGAACTATACAAAAGAAAAACAGCCGCCAATGATCTTAACTTTCACATATGCTGCCAAGGTCATGATTTCAAGTAACTTTCAAAAGTTTAGGCGGTCACTGTCCGTTAAACAGTTATTAAAAAAAAATGTATAACAAATAAAATAAAAGATCAGCCTGTACCAATTTTAAATAAGGGTTGGGTTAGGTTAGGATTAAATCGGAGTGAGAGTTCATGAGGAGGACCGAAACTTCTTCCCCTCTTTGCTTCTGGAGCGAAACAAGATCAACAATTGTTCTATTCTAAATAGTTTCTTGTAGAAAGAACACATGTGAGCGGGGGAGAGGCTCCGCTTCCCTCCCTGCACCCCTACCCCGATTTAATCCTAACCTAACCCAACCCTTATCTAATTGTGAGATGGAACTCTCTTCGCGTGAAAGTCGTGTGCTTTTAGGCAAAAGAGAAGGGGTGGAAGTCGCTTCGCGTGGAAAGTGGTATTCCCTTAATCGGTCCATCCCATACCTCTCTCCCTGCTTAGATTTATCTAACTTTTTATGTAAAGCAAGGAAATAATTACTAACTTTAACTATTAATAACTTTTTAACAAATAGCGATCGCCATCTAAAACCTGTTGGAGGTCACTCAGGGTTAGGTGACCATTCATACTCTTCTTCCTGGACATGTACTCTTTTTTCGGGCGGGTTTCCAATGTGTACTGTTTTTTGTACTACTTTTGGGACTTGGAAGCGAGCGAGGGGGTCGGAAGTTGTTAAGGCTCCTGAGTAGTCCATATTGGATCATAACGTTAGAAGTGAGAAATGACACATTAATTTTTCTTACGTACCACTTATAAACAAAGACAATTTGGATAAAACAAAACAATAAAGTTGTTTTAAAATATTTGTAAAAATGAACGAAACATTTGTAAAACTATGCTTATCCCCCCTGACAGTCAGTAAATAATCATAAAAAGTAATAAAAGGCACGTGTAAGTGAAAATAAGCTATGCATGCGCATAAAATAAAAGTACTTCATGTACCTTTTATTACTTTTTACGACTATTTACTGACTATCAGGGGGAATTGCAACCGGTAATTCCATTTTATGATTCCATATGTCAAAAATATATCCGATAAGTTAAAAAATGTGATAGATAATTTCACTTGGCGCCTAAATCAATAAATTCGCTTAATTCTTTTATAAAAACAGGGAACGATCCCTTAAATACAATAAATAAATGTGATACAATAAAGAAATGTGATGTTATATAGAGGATTAGCTACCAGGACTGTGAAACCATTTACGTTGGACAAACGGAAAGGCAATTAATTACAAGAATAAAAGAACATTCTTCTGATATTAATACCCCTACGAATATAAACTTTCTGTGATTTCTTTTCATTGTGTAGAGATTAAACATAATTTTACATGGAATGATGCTGGCATTTTGGATATTGAATCTTTTTTTAAAAGAGATCTCTGAAATGATTTACATAAAAACAGAAGCAAGGCCTTAATAAACAAAGTGATACAGACAAGGTACTTGAGATCTATTTACTTCTTTAATCTCTGTCCCCAACCCTGATCCTTTTCCTATCCATTCCTACACTTAACCCCTAGTAGTAAGTGGGCAGCTATGGGACGTCAAAACAAACCCCCTCCACTCCACCTCCGGTGCCAGGTGGGCGTGGCCTAGACGGGTTTGTCTGGAGAAATGGTGCGCTCTGATTGGCCGGTGACGTGAGGGTAGGATAACGAGGTAATTAAATGTGGCGTTTTGATTGGCTCGGTCCATAGCTGCCCACATACTGATTGGTTCGGTCCATAGCTGTCCGCGCGATGATTCGAGAGGGCGGCAGAGAAGAATACCATTGCAAAATGGTGGATGGGAAAACCGAGGAAAAGTGGGACCGAGAACTTTGTTCGTTACGGGAGAGGGGGGGGGAGGTAGGGTCAGCGAACATGAATAGCACACAGCTTTTGTCCTGCAGGTCATTTTTTGCTACAGTGGCTCAATGTCTTCGACGTGTTGACATCTTAATGAAAAGGTTTTTTTTTCTCACTAGGGAAAAAGAGGAGGTAAAACAGGGATGAACAAGTTTGCGCTGGCACGTGCCGCCGTAATCGGTGTGCTGATTCAAACATTTTAAAAGAAAAATTTTTCTATATTTTGTTTTTAATGAACATTATCTAAAGCAGAAATACGTGAGAAAAAAGTGACTAATGTAAAAGGGGACGAGGTTAGAAGTAAGAAACAGATGAAATTTACATAATCAAAAACGTTTATTTTAAAAAGAAAAAATGATATTACATAAAATATTTATTTTATATTTTACTTTTTAAAAGAGTAGACGATTGAATATGACGGCATACAGCATGACAATTAATTTTTTTATGTTTACAATGAAGAAAAAATTTATGAAATAACTGTACGATCAATCGATCATTGCGTTTACAATCAGAGGTAAACAGACTAAGAAACTGGCTAAGATTATAACCATTATATATAAAATATAGAAATACACAGCAGTATTGTCCGCAAGTTTGAGAAAGTATTCCTTGCAGCGTCGTCATATTCCAGCGATACGTGATGGAGTTTCTGCGAAGTCGTAAGAAGAATTTTTAGTCCAAGGGCGGCAAGCCGTAGGTATCGAAATATTAGGTGTTAAACTTAATTCCTATCGCTCGCTACTAGAGGGCTCTGCCTCCAACCCTGACGAGTTTCGACGATAAAGTCACATGTCTTTTGTAGTTTAGACATCGCTGAAAGTGATTCAATTCTCACAGGTTAGATTTCTCGACGCCAAAGAGATTTTCCAATCAATTGAAAATGAATCGCGATAAGCTGTTTTTCCGATATGTGCTTCTTCACTACTTCGACCTCACACCGAAAAAATTGTATTCTTAATTTAAGAATATCCCACTTACGTATAGTATGTTTTCCTCTAAAATAAGCGCTGAGACGATCCTCTTAATTTAAGAG